GCATAACATCAAAGATGCATTTTGAACTAAAAAGGCGAAGAACTATTTACGGGAAAAAGTGAGAAAGGAGATTAAAAAACTAGGAAACAATTGATTTTGTTTATTGTTGTCTTGTGAAAGGCTCATGATTTACAGTTGAGCAGAAATTAATTTTTGAAAGACTGACGAAGCAAAAAGGGAAAAAAGAAAACTTTTATATAGGTTAAAAAAATGGAAGTTCTTTTTTTTTGCTTTGCTTATTTTTGCATATAGTTTTTTGATTGAAATTTATAAAATTATTCAACAACAGTATAGCGAAAAAGAAAAGCATCAAACGGAGACGGTAAGGTTTACAGAATTTACTTTTTTAGTTAATAGGTTAGTATTTTTGATGTTGCTGTTGTTGTTGTTGGTAAACGTTATTAGGCCAAAAACAATTATTTGAAGACAAACATCTGTTTCCTTTTTTTTTGGTCGATGTGCGTTGGAATGATTTGACTGTCTTCACTTACAGTTTGTCTAAATTTAGTTATATCATATTTAGTGTTATTAATCTGGTGTTTAACAACAGTTACCGGAAAGTTTTGGTAATAAACTAATGAAAGCAATAAAAGTCTTGATTTTTTTAGTGGGTAAAATTGCTGAACGTGATAGCAGTTTTGTTGTTTCGCAAACGTATTTTGAGAAAAAAAAAAAAAAAAGGAAAATAGATAGAACTAGAAATAAAAGAAGGACAAGAAATTTATAGTTTTTAAAAATTTGCGGAATGTATATAGTAAGTATTATTGTATTCTAATTTTCCTTTAAACAATTCTTCCGCAACAGTTACGTGGACATAAATTTAAAATTTAAAAATGTATAATAATTTTATTTTACATTGACCGCTTCACTAGTGGACTTTCGTACACTGTTTGCAGAAGTAATAATTTTTTTTAAGTTGTAATTAATTATGATTCGTTTTGTTTTGTTTTTTTTTTGTTTTTCTGCCTCAAATAGGTGCTTGATACCGTTGTTGTTTAGTTCAATTCAGTTCAGTGTAGAATAGTTCTGCTCAACTCCTTACTGTTCAGTTCAGCTAAGCTAATCTTATTTGAACAGATAGAGGAAGAGTTCAAAATGCAGTAAACAGCGTCGTTTTGGCTGGTTTGCTTTGCAGTTGACCAGAACTCTCAATTTTTTTTCGACTACACATTTCTAGCTTTAGCTTCTCTTTCATTAATTAATTTTATTTGCTTGCTCATCTATATTTTTCTTTTTTTTTTCTAGGATTTACCTTTTTTTTTTTTTTTTTTTTTTTTTTTTTTTTT